TCATTTTGTTAATCTACCAGGTAAAACAACACTCCAAAAGAATTACCGAAAACCAAGGGTGAAGAAGAATGATGAGTTTTTGTTACTTTTTTTTTAATTTCGAATAAATTTTGTTTTCTAAGGCACAACTAAAAAGATATTTATTTTTGTTATGTTTAATTTTTTTACATGAATACTAAAGAAATCCAGGGCCTTAAATCTTATTGTTGTATTGCTCTATATTCTTTTATATATTAAAGAAAACACATTTTTAGATTATTTTATACAGTGTCAAACTCTCAAATTTTCTAAGTTTTTTTTATTAATAATTAAATTTCTTTCATTATTACTATCTAAATACACTTAATGAAACATTCCCTATAACTAAACATTATTATTTTTAAACTTCTATACTAAAAGAGATTAGAGGACAATTTTGCTTTGTGTTATCACCCAACTTTTTATTTAATTAATTCGATTTTTAACACTATCATAATTGCCAAACAATTTCTTTTCCAATCAGGATTAGTCCTGTAGTAAACTTATTTACTTTGCCAAGCAATTTTTTTTTCAATCAGGATTAGTCTCGTAGTAAACTTATTTACTTTCCCAAACAAAAGTTATATACTAATTACACTAATTCCTTATCACCATATTCTTTTGGGTCAAACTTTACTAAACAAAAGTTTATATTTACTAAATTTTATTTACTAATTCGTAAGATATACACAATCCTCACTTTTAGAATTTTCATACAAATAATTTGATTACTTTTAAAATACAAGCGGATCCATATTTTCTTCATCGGAAAAGTAGATTCCAACTGTTAGCAACAAAACAAAAAAGTAGATCCCATTTCAATAACAGTGTCAACTAAATTTACTTTTAACTATTTAACTAACTATTTAACACGAGAGGAAACTACATAATCTCTTTCTTATTACGAAATTCTCCAAACTAAATATTATGAATTCTAAGTGTAATTTATTTCAAAAACGATTTCAATGACAAGAACATAACATAAAGATATGTTTCGTT